AGTCTGAAAGTTTGATGAATGACTGTCACTGCTGCACCATCTGTGACGTTTTTATAACACAAGACTGAAACCCTTTCAGATGACTTTCAGAAGCAGCCGCATCTTCTTGTTTCGGCCAATTACGGTTTCGAGTTGAGTAATGTTTGCCATAAATGATATACCTGTGCACACTCTTCATTGAGGAGACAGATAAAGAGCTGAGGATCTGTACTTAAAGATAGTTGCACTTTATCTTCTATTTAAAATACAACTTTGATTGCAGTAATAATTGACACAGTCAGGTATGTGATCAACTGCAGATGGACAACCTCACTTAAGCATGTCAAGATGCAATGAATGGCAAACGGATGCATACATAGCAGCACCAATCTTAATTTATTAAAATTTCAAATGTCTGTCACAAAGTGTTCTTGCTTAATGCTTGAGCAAAATTTAACACATATTAAATTCAATTACATTGTATTTGTATAGCACTTTTCACAATAATTATCATTCCAAAGCAGAACATTATTATTTTACAGACAAAAACATTAAGGATTGTGTATAGGCTGGACACTTTATAAACATAGTTAATCTGAAGTTTATAAAGTGTTTGCATTATAAATAATAATGGTTACTTACTCAATAGTTGGCCTGTAATTGCATTTGGATTAGTCACTGAATTATTAAAAAAATAACGCACAAATAGGGGGCGATTTTTGTTTGTTTGTTTGTTTGTTTGTTTGTTATACGGTCATGACTTGCCTGGAACTACTTTAGCTGTGCATTTCTCTGAAAACTACTCTGGCCTAGATCGTTATAATGTATATGTATGTAATTCCCTTAGATTAAGAAGTTGTTGCAACCAGAGCCTCTTGCTGATGTACTTGACCTTCAAATCATGTCAAACACACCATCACCTACTACTGTGACTGTCACAGACTGTCTGACAACTTCTCAGTGGAAAAGTGAACCCCAGATGTTTAGCTAATGCTTCGAAACACTTTCTTCCAAGAACACTTTACAGGACAGACATATGTGAGATTTTCATCTAAATGAAAACCACTTGATGCAATGATGAGATGAATATGGGATATATCATTCAACAAGGAGTGTGCTACATTTAAGAAACATTTTTTATATGTAAAATGCAAAATACAATTGTAATAACCATTTCCATCACACAATCCTGCTAACCACTGCAATTTAATTCTGTACCCTAAATTTCTGAGATTAGCTCATTATTGTCTTGCATCTCAAGCTTAAAGAAATCACTACATCAATGCCTGAGTTGTGTTTAAATACTGCAAGTCTCTGATAACTCTTATTAAATATAATACAGAATTTATGCTTACTCTTTTATAAGGATGGCATATTTTTATATCTTCATATCTATGCATCTATCTATAAAACACAATTAAAATTGAAAAATTCTGAAATGTTTTGCACTATAAAATAACTGTTTAAAAGTAGTTTATAATTTCATTTAATAACTTAATCCAGTGATTTTAAAGATGAATTTTCAGCTTTAATACTCCAGTCCTCAGATGATCCTTCAGAAATCATTCTTATATTAATTAATAATATTATTTTTAATGGTAATAGTAAAAAAAGGCATTAATTACTGGAGTAATAATTTATTTGAGACTTTACAATAAGAATGCAGTTATTTAACATTTTTATTTAACTAATTTTTATCATTTAATGAATCCCGCCTTGATTAAAAGAATAATTTTCAAAAATAAAAATTAAAAAACATGAAAAAAATTCAAATAAAACTGACCCCAAACTTTTGACCGGTAGTTTACGCGCACACACACGCAATACATAATTTAAGCATCGATAATGCAATATGCACATCCTCAATAGGCACATCGCAAGGTATGCAATGTTGAGCCTGAATTATAGTTGACCATGAGCTACAGAATTATATGTAATTACTGTATATTTACAGAATTCATACGATTTATGCCAAAAATATTATAAGTTCTTACTTAGAGTTTTTGTCTTGTTTCTAGTCCAAATATCTACATGTCAAAAGTAAAAACCTAATACTTTTACTTACCGCACAGGCAGACACTTTTACTTGTTTTAAGGAAAAACTCCATAATTTTGACACATTTTTTTTAAGTTGATAAAAAACAATATTTTTACTTGATCTTATAAATTTTAGATATTTGCAACAGCATTTTTCGCATTGTTTTTATTCAATCCCTGTACCTGATTACTGTTAAATTCTCCAGAAAACCATCAAATAATGCTATTCAAACTACCTTGGGAAACAATCGCAATATTGATCACAGACAAATAAAATAGCACAATGTTAATTTCTTCAATATCATGCAGCCCTAATATGGCAGCACAATGGTGCATTGGATAACACAATCACCTCACTGCAAGAAGGTCACTTGTTTGAGCCCCGGCTGGGTCAGTTGGCATTTCTATGTGGAGTTTGAATGTTCTCCCTGTGTTTGCATGGGTTTGTGTGTGTGAATGAGTGTGTATGGATGTTTCCCAGTGATGTGTTGCAGCCGGAAGGGCATCCGCTGCATAAACATATGCTGGATAAGTTGGCGGTTCATTCCGCTGTGGCGACCTCAGATTATAAAAGGGAATAAGACAAAAAGAAAATGATTGAATATTTTTTCTTCCTCTGTATAAGATATTTTCAAGTATTATACAGACTTTGTTCAGCAAAGTAAATTGCTTCTAAAGATCATAACAGAACACAGTGAACTTATCCATCTCAAAAGACAAACTGATCAATCGATTAACAGACAGATAGACGCACTTTATTGAACCCTGCAGGGCAACTCAGAGCTCCTAACACTGCTGCGCAAGCCCAAGCCTGTGAGCCTTTAATATGCAGAAAACATTAATGGCCTTCTCACAGCGGGTTAAGCAGAAATCCTAACGGGAATAAAGAAAGCCCCCGAGCTATGACTTACCCCATATCAAGCCAAAGATGCACAAAGACTAACTGTATTTCTATATGACGCGGAGAGAAAGAGTCAGACAGATATGTCTTAGAGCAATAGGGTCACCGTTCGGTTATTTACGCCTTTAAGATTTAACCCAATTGTACCAGATGTAGACCCCTGAAAGGGTTCATATAATACTGCCTCAATTACCCAAGCATTATAATAACCAGCGCTTAGAGGTTACTGTTACTCAACCATATCATCATCAAAGTAAAGCTGCAGAACTATACTTCAGACAGCGGACCACACACCTTTCTGTCCTGATATTAACATGTCATTTCACACCAAGAGCAACCATTTACTTGATTTCCACAGTACTTAACGTGAACAGAGCCAAGTTCCTATAAGCTTCCCACATATGCACCCTGCAAATGTATACTGTCTGAACGCAGATACTTTATAAATAGGTTTGAACATGTAAACCTAATGTTAATGCATAGCAAACAACATTTAGATGAACTCGCACATGTTTTAATGTGTGATAAATGTGCAACATGACAGCTAAAGTGTGTGTTTGTTCATCTGACTTTCAACAAATAGATTAATATTCAATTAAATATTTAATATTCAATTCAATGAATATTCAAAAGTTGTATACTGTCTGAACGCAGTTACTTTATAAATAGGTTTGAAAATGTAAACCTAATATTAATACACAGCAAACAACATTTAGATGAACTCGCACATGTTTTAATGTGTGATAAATGTGCAACATGACAGCTGAAGTGTGTGTTTATGTTCATCTGACTTTTAACAAATACATTAATATTCAATTTACCAAGCATTAACAAAACTATATTGCTATGAGTTACATTAAAACTTTCTCTGTACTAAAAAGTAATACTATGATCATGTAAAATATAATTGAGGTAAAGTTAGTTTTACATTCGCACATTCGTTCATTAAACAAATCTTATATTGTTTACCATGCTACTTTGAATATTTAAAGGAGGTAGAATTGGTTATGTATTCGCACATTTGTTTATTTATAAGTCTCTATATTGTTAACCATGTTACTTTGAATATTCGATTGGAATAAGCATGCAAGTATGACCTGGAAACAACATTAACACAGTTTATTTGACTGTGGACAATGTTGTACTTTGATAGTCATTGGCTGCTAATATGATTTTGCTATTTAGAGTTTGCAAATAATACTTTTATGAAATTATATTATTAAGAGGAAAGTCAGAATGTGTGAATATAAAACCGACGTTACCTCTATTGAATATCTGGTCTCAATTATAATGCAAATATGACTTCAAAACAACATTAATACTATTTATTTAATTGTAAACAATGTTGTACTTTGATAGTAATTGGCTGTTAATATAATTTCCCCATTTAGAGTTTGCAAATAATACTTTTTAGAAACTACTTTATTAAGGATAAAGTCCCAATGTGTGACTATAAAACCAACTTAACTTCAGATATATTATAAATCCTCTCATATTTACTTCCTCGAAACACCACCCCACACAAAAAACATAAAAAACAAGCACAAATGTGAAATATGTGCAGCAAATGAGAGCTGTTAAACCCAAATGAATGATACAAATATGACATTCAGGATGACAGAAGAACACCTTCAACTTCAAGTCTGTATTAAGATTCATATCAACATACATACGTGGATCTGAAATACTTTAATCACATGAGCTGATTTCAGTTTTCTAAAGTTATTAAGGGAATTCACAGCCACGTATTAAACTACCTTGCTAACCGGATAGCATGCTAGATCTTCACCTTTATGAGTTTTTAACACAAACCCAGCCATCCTGCTGGATAATTACTGTTTATAATAGGCATACTTATAAAATAGGATTTAAAACACATAAGATATTTTAGTTCCTGACAGAGAGAGTAATAAAAACCGCCGAAAAGGCACAGAGTTTATGAGGCCAGTCGTTAAATCCCAGCGCCATGTTGTTGTTGTATTAAACGCCAAACGTTGGTGGGCGAAATCACAGTTAAATTAACAAAACTGACACAAGCCTGGGAAGGAAACACTGCTGAAATAAACAAACATTCAATACTCACCATCACATACTCCGTTCAATCCCGATAAAACGATCAAAATTCGCAGGATTTGCCGTGGGTCCATCCTTACAGGACTCCCATTGCACTGAGAATGCGCGTGAATACTGTTGCCGCTCGCGCGCTCACTAGTAGATAAGAGCGCGCCCTGAGCACGCGCATTACACAGACTGGATGGATGGATGGATGGATGGATGGATGGATGGATGGATGGATGAATAGATAGATAGATAGATAGATAGATAGATAGATAGATAGATAGATAGATAGATAGATAGATAGATAGATAGATAGATAGATAGATAGATAGATAGATAGATAGATAGATAGATAGATAGATAGATAGATAGATAGATAGCATTAAAAGTGATAATAAAAACACTCAGCAGCAATTATTGGTTAAAATACCGACCTAAAGTTAAACCTTGGGTAGTTTTCATTCACTCTGGGGTAATTTTGAGTCTTAATTTGAATGATTTTTGGCTGACAAGTCTTATTTTGGCCCAAATTTTAGGAAACAATATACCCTGAGCAAATGTATTACCATTTTGTTATGTTCGTGGCTGTTCTTGCACCATTGACTTACTTTATAATGGTATTTTTTGATTGCAAAGCCATGAGAGAAACCTTTGCAAATTATATGTTTAAGAAAATAAAAACAAAATAAGCCCCTCAGCTCTCAGAACATGGTAAACATGGTAAGTACACTCTCTAACTTGCTGCTTTTCTCTATATAACTCCATATAAAAGCCAGAAAGGTTTTGCACAGAGCTTTCTAAAAGGTTTGAACAATACTTAAGAGTTAAAGGTTAAAGTAAAGTGCATTTTATTTATTTGTTTATTTATTTATTTATTTTTATTTAGTTATAAATAAATATATAAGTATCTAGGGGTTTTGTTCACGAGTGAGGAAAGGATGGAGCGTGAGAGAGGCAGATTGGTGCAGCGGCAGCAGTAATGCGGTCGATGTATCGGTCCGTTGTGGTGAAGAAGGAGCTGAGCCGAAAGGCAAAGCTCTCGATTTAGCGGTCAATCTACATTCCTACTCTCACCTATGGTCATGAGCTTTGGGTCATGACTGAAAGGACAAGATCTCGGATACAAGCAGCCGAAATGAGTTTCCTTGGCAGGATGGCAGGGCGGACCCTTATATACAGGGTGAGGAGCTCTGTTACCTGGGAGGAGCTCGGAGTAGAGCCGCTGCTCCTCCACATGGAGAGAAGTCAGCTGAGGTGGCTCGGGCATCTGTTTCGGATGCCTCCTGGACGCCTACCTAGGGAGGTATTCCAGGCATGTCCTACCAGTAGGAGGCGTTAGGGGAGACCAATGACTGTAAAAAATATGGACGACGCAACAGCCCTTTTTCCCATTGAACGCCTTGAGGGCAAAACGCCTGCTTGACGGGCACAAACTGTCGCAAAAGACTGCTGAAATTGGAGCCAGACATGCGCAGAAGGATTGTCTGATGGAGCCAGAGGAGGAGCCGCGAAAATGAGCAGAGTCGAGCTTCCAATCAAACGCTTTATGTAAAATCAACTACGCCCCCCGAAGTTCTCAGCATGCGTTTGCTGTCATATCAACACAAATGGATGTAATAACGTTAACAAATATGAGGGTTTTATATATTCAATCGCGCCAGCTCCAGGCCGCAGCGCATAACTTACTCGCGGCGTCGCGGGCTGATTCCGGCTCGCATGCGGCAGCACCTGCTCGCTCGGCCGCCGCATCTGGCTCGATTGACTCGGGCTGGAATTGGGTAGTGAGTCCAGGCATCCGGAGTAGGTCCAGCAGAGGTAACATTAGTCAGTCTGAGCTCTAAGAGATAAGTCTCCGGCAAGCGAGAATCTAGCCGGAACTGTGTTTTGCTATCTGGGTGGCTAGGCGTGTATCAGCAAACTAATAAAGCCCGAAAAAAGCCCTGAACTTAGCGAATAAACAGTGTTCCACCAGGATCATGTATGTCAGAAACTATAGTTTACTGCTGAACTCATTTTGTCATGGTAAAATAACACAGAAATCGAATAATAACATTTCAGTCTACTTCAGTCTCCTGCCGAAGCTCAGACGCGCTGCTTTGAGAAACTGTCAATCACAGCTGTCAATCACGATGACACGCCCAGCATTAAATTACTGCTAAAAACAAACTGTTTACAAAATTGAAGATCTGCACCTATTTCAGCACAATAACCAGTGCCTTAATCGACCAGAACTATCTTTCGGGACATTTTATTGCAAGTGTAATATTTTTTTTTATTTGGGCTCAAGTCTCCTTCATTAACATGGAGGAGGCGGGCTTTATGACTTGTACTGCAGCCAGCCCCCAGGGGGCGATCTAACGGCCGAAACCTTCACTCAAACGTAGGCTTGCGGCACACTTGGGGGAGACCCAGGACACGCTGGAGGGACGCTGGATGTCTCAGCTGGCCTGGGAACACCTCGGGTCGGGATGCCCCTAAAGGAGCTGGAGAAAGTGTCTGGGGAGAGGGAAGTCTGGGGTTCTCTCTTCAGACTGCTTCCCCCACAACCCGGCCCCCGGATGAGCGGTTAAAAATAAGATGAGATGAGATTAAACTTTCCAATAAATAAGTATAATTTTAGCATATTAAGTAAGTACAAACTTGATTTAAGGAGTTGTTTTCCTTTAATGTAAAACACCAAAACAACATGTCAATAACTTAAAGAAACATCACCACAAATCTTTTGGACATAGTTAAGCGTGAGTCTGAAAGACAAATGTTATCAGTGTAGTAGCGCCCTCTCATGCTCAACTGTAGTAATTACAGCTACAAATTCGACACACGCCAGACACTGATCAATTAGTGTCAGATTTTCACACACCAGCCGAACAAAACGTCTCCATAAACTCATAAAAAAATTCATAGATATATTTTTAAACCTTAATAATCATTTCGAAAACATAACTGTTGGTCCGAACATTGTGTGCGGAACTATTAATCACAGTATTGTTTCCTCGTGCAATGCTGCTGCTCGCGTGTGTTACAGTGTGAGGGGTCCGTCTAAAAGAAGAGTCATGGCAGCTTCAGACCTCTTTAAAACTTTATTATACACAGTCAACAACCTCCTGCAGCAGCACAAATATAAAACTGCGCTGGCGGTGCTCAAAGGCTTCAGGAATGGAGCTGTGTGAGTTTAAATGCGCTTTTATTTTCATGCACGTTCGCTAGTAATTGCATTTCACGTTTTAAAATTTTTTATTAATCCATAAATCTGCCATAAATTACTCTTAATTACATTTAATACACGTAAGGAAATAAAATATGTTCTGTATATATGCCTTTTTTGAGCGTAGTAAATATTTAACTTATAATTGCAGCGATATATTTGCATATTGCTAGCTTTAAACATTAGGCTGAGTGAAAACATTAAGATTTTCACTGTTTATGTTATGTTTATTGTGCAGTTGTTGTATTATTTTGTGTGTTTTCTCAGATATGGTGCTAAAATCCGTGCCCCTCACGCCCTTGTGATGACGTTTCTCTTCAGAAGTGGCAGGTGAACTTTGAACTCTCATGATATGCTCTTTTGTTTATTTAATGGAACAAATAATACTGTAATATTGTACGATTTGCATATTTATGTTTAGTTATTTGCATATTTACATATTTATATTTATAATATACAGCATATGGAGTAATTATACTGAAAGTTTCGTTCTTTATTTTTTTATTCAGTAAACAAATGTCTATTTTGATGTCTTGATCTAATAAAATCCCTAAAAGTGAATTTGTATAGTAGAAAGTATATGTAAAAAACATTTGTGAAGGTCAAACGAAGATAATAAATTTGCTCCTTCATTATTCAGTGTAATGTACACTCACCGGCCACTTTATTAGGTACACCTGTCCAACTGTTAATGCTAATTTATAATCAGCCAATCATGTGGCAGCAGCTCAACGCATTTAAGCACGTAGACCTGATCAAGATGATCTGCTGCAGTTCAAAGCGAGCATCAGAATGGGGAAGAAAGGAGATTTAAGTGACTTTGAATGTGGCATGGTTGTTGATGCCAGCTGGTTTGAGTATTTCAGAAACTGCTGATCTACAGGGGTTTTCACGCACAACCATCTTTAGGGTTTACAGTGAATGCTCTGAAAATGAGAATATATCTAGTGAAAGTTTTAGTGAGAGTTTTGTAACCCTAAGGATAACCCAGTGTAATCTCTGCTTTCCGTTTGCTGCTGAACAGTCTGAGAGAGAAGTTTCGTGCGATCGCTCAGGCCACATACACTCACTCCAGGAATCTGGCCTGCTTCGTCTTCACATATAAAGGCCTGCAGGCTCTTCAGCAGCAGCTGCAGGGCAAACAGATGCAGTCGCACTCCTTTCTGGCCGCCTGTGTTGGAGGATGGCTGGTGTTTGGGGAGAATAACAACATCAACAGCCAGGTGAGGGGAAAAGTGCATTTGTTTATTATTATTATAAAGGCTAACAAAACACCAAAACAAAAAAAAACTATTTTTTTGAGCTTTTGACAGTCATATATGTGTCCCACGTTGCTAAAAACACTATTAGGACACATGTATTTCATTAAAAAGGGAAAATTGGTTGTTTTTACGTTGTTTCGAGCAAATTCGTTCTTCTGGTTTGAAAATAAAATTTGAAGCTACGTCACGGCGATTAGATCCTTGTGTAAATTCTAGCGAGATTGGATGTTTGTAAAAATTGACATCATTGAGTTTTCAGCATATCTGTGCATTAATTCATGAGAAAGACTTGGTTCGAACCAATCAGCATGCTCTATTGTGAATGAGGTGCAACTTTAATGCAAATGTAGATCAATGAAATGAGAACTCAAAAAGCTTGTTTGTAAAAAGCCAGACATATCAAATATCAGATGAAAGAAAAAAATAACACTCCAATAAAAACAGAAATTAAAATACCAGCATACATTTGCAGTTTATATTGTATATAAATGTTGCTGCATTCATCAAATCAATCTGTTCTTGATTCATTAAAGTAAATACAGTTTGTTCTATGTTAAATGTCATCAAATCATATTTTTCAATAATAATACGACTGCTAATAATAGCTTTTGAAAGCCCTAACCCTAAACAAACCCCGACACTAAACAAGCCCCTCACAGTAATGTAAAAACAGTATTTATGACAATAGTAATTGATAATATTTATCAAATTGTATTTTATTAACACCTACCCCTCATATTAATTTCAAAATGGTAATTATAATGAGATTCATAAGATTATAATTGTTTATTAAATTACCGATAAATTGTAAACACTAATTACATTTTAAATTACCATAATAATCCATTTATTTTAAAAGCTATTAATGATGTGTTTAATAAACATAAATCATAACTTAACATAAATATTTCAGCAAGAAAATGTTTGGTTTATATAGCAATAACATTTTAGTTTTAATATATTTTATTAAATAAATACAGCCTTTTTGAGAAGAAAAATAAAAGAAGAATATTTAAAACATTAAATATTCTTACTGATCCCAAATAAATAAAAAAATAAATAGTAAATATTTCTTTTTGAAAAATGGAGATGATCAAAATGAAATAAAGAAATAAGTAATAAATGTCAAATATTTATTTAAAATATTTAAATGTTTAAATATTAGCTTTCTATCTTAAACAAAAAAAAACATAAATAAATAAACAAACCTCATTTAATAAGTATATTGTTTCATATTGCTGTAAACTTTCAGTTTTGCAGATTGTTTTCTGCATATGTGATTAAATAAATGCTGCTTTTGTGAGCAGAATAAGCTTTTTTTCAAACAACAATATCAATAAACAATTATAATGTGACTAAAATAATCAATAAAATAAATAAATATATATTTAAGTATGTATGTACAAAAAGACTTACCATAAGATATCTAAAACTGTCTTAGCATGGAATGTGTATAATGAGATTGAGAGTTCCTTAATCTTTAATTACAGTTAAAAATATTTATTCAATTCTATGACCAAAACTAATGTTATTGTGAAAAAAGCACTACATCAATGTAATGCACAGCATGCATATAACATCTGTAATATAATGTGTGTTACTTTAATGTACTGTATTTGTGCAGATAAACATGTACCTGCTGTCCAGAATCCTCTTTGCTCTGTCTCGGCTGGCGGTGGAGAAAGGTTTGATCCCGCAACCCAAAAAAGACCCGTTCCCGCTGTTCGCCACGCTGGTTTGGGGAATCGTGCTGTGGCTGTTTGAGTATTATCCTCATACGCTTCAGCCCTCGCTCCAGTCCTCCATGAACTACCTCTACCACGACAGCAACACGTGGCACGACATTACAGACTCTCTCATCTATAACAAACCAAAAGCCAACTGAGAGGTACTGAAGCCACACTTCCAGAGTACAAGCACTAAAGTACAAGTAAAGGAGAGCTTTAATATGTATTAATTAGATTTTGACAGTTTTTTCCACTAAGGCAGTTCAGGGTGATGAAATGTAATTGGGTTAACTGGCAGTGGGTCGGTTATAGAGACCAAAACAAAGACAGACATTCTTACAAGAAAGGCACATTTTCAAAGCAGAATATCTGACTTCAGCATTGTTTATCAGGTAAACAAATGCACTACCTGACCAAAGTCTTGTCGCCTACCTAAGTTTTAGGAACACAACACCTTTAAGGATTATATTTACTCCATTTGTCCTAAATTTACTTTCAGATCTACTCGGTCATGATAACTTTGATGAAGCATCTTGTAATGTTTGGTCAGCATCTCACCCAAAAGCAACTATTTAACTCTTGAAAGTGTGATTGCATTGTGTAGTTTCCTTTAAGGATCTAATATTTGATGCATTGTGTCATTATTTCAGAATAGAAATGCATAAGGTCGGAAGGGCGTTAATTGCATTGCCTTTATTTTTACCCACAGGAATCATCGATGTCTAACCACCGAGAAGAAGTCTTCCCGCAAATGTGTTTTTACACATGTTTTGAAGTTCCACTAAATGATTTTTACACATTGCACATTGTCAGCAGATTATATTTGCTCCATGTTGTATTTGATTTACTCTGTGCTGTATTTTTCGCTTCGTTTATAAAAACTAAACATATGTAAGAACAGAAACAAAGTCTTTAGTTTCAAATTTCATGCGAACAAACTAAAATAAATCCTAAATTTACAATGTTTACTTTACTAGCGCACATTTTTAAATCTTAAAATGAACAATTAATCCACGCTAGTTATTCTACTGTAAAAAAACAGTTTGTTTTGGTAATCTTCAATCAAAATCTGATCATCTGGGGCCTCATGTACGAAGACTTGCGTTGAAATCATACTAAAACATTGTGTATGCACAAAGCTGTAAATGTGTGTACGCTGTAAAAAATCGGATATATGAAACACTACGTACACAGAATCCCACGTATATTCTCTTTGTACATCCAAATTAACGTGAAACTGAGTGCACGAGCACAAAACCCCTTAATGCCTCCTCCCCCCGTATGAATATGCTAATGACTCTACTTTGCAAATCCAAACGATAAAGCAATGGCAAAAGCAAGCAAGAAGAGAAACTTTGAACAGAATGTGAATTGGAGGTGCTGCTATCGGAGGTAGAACGAAGTAAACTGTGTTATTTGCAAGTTTGTCCTCCGGAATTAATAACAAAATAAAAAAAAATTGAGTGGGAGAGTTTAGCTGACGCGGTTAACACAGTGGGGTCTGAACATCGCACTGTGAGTGAATTAAAAATGTAAAGGTGTAAAATTTTGTAGTGTCTATAGCAGCGAGATTGGCGTAGCTCGTAAAGCGCATATCAGAATTTGCCCACTCTTCGTCATGAGGAAGACAGGTAGGAATCATTGTTGAGCGCATTTGAGCATCATATTTTATTCGCACATTTATTGAATGGAAATGTTTCTTATTCACGTATGCAAATTCTTCAGATGGCACCTTTATAGCAATGTGCGCGCAGTCAATCTCTCTGATGACATTGGAAAAACCAATGATCGCTGCAAGTTGCGCATTAATATTTGGCTGGTCAACTGTATGGTATGGAAACCTTATATACCTGCGAGACATGCGGATGATCTCGTCCCATACAGCTGCCAATGCACGGCTCAAAGATACTTTGTAGTGTGCAGTTTAACACAACTGCCTCTAGGAGTCGCCAATGGAAGTAAAACAAACACACACAAGAAATGCACGTAAGCTAGACATTAAGTTGGTGTGGAACAACGCACATTCTCACATTCATTTCATTGTTAGTAAGAAAAGAGACATGTGAAACTTGTCGCACAGGCTTGTGTTTCCAGTTCGTCCCATTCGCATGCGTATAAATGTGGGTAAACCCCACCCCCTACTAAATATTTGGTTTCTGTATTCAGCAACTTCTTTTTCATGCACACTTTAATTCAAAATGTTTTTATCCAGGAAAACTTCCCTTCATTTTTTCCATTAATGTAATGCATTCAGAAACATCTCCAAATATGCACTAATCTCAATTCTAGTGCATAGCAGTAGTTACTTATACATAAGTTACTATAACATATTTTTTTAAAGTGACAGTTCACCCAACAACAGTCTCACCCTCAGACCATTCAAGATTATTATTTTTATATTTCAGTTTTGCTGATTTTTATTTGTTATATTATCATAAAGCAAGTCAAATTCCCAATAACGTAAACACAGATTTAATAATACATGATGTGAATAATATATTAGGATCTTATGAAGTAAATCACCAGTCTGTGCTAGAAACTGAGCATTATTTACTAATAAAACATAATTTTTGTTGTGCAATATCGTTTTTGGAGTGAAATCTGAAGTGTAAATCGGACAGGTGGTGTGTTTTGCTGTTGTTGCTCTATATTTGTGTATAATGGAGGTGAGTCTGGCAGTCTTAACACTGAAATGGACATTTATCTACTGTTTTCAGCACTTTTTGGTGTCACGTTGCATTATAAACTAATGTAATCTCAACATTCAAACTAAAGAAGAGTGATGATAAAGAAGAGTTTGATGGATATTTTCTTCTAATTAATTGTTTGGTCGTGTGGATCCACAGTTTATTGCTGAATTGTGGATTAATGTCTTGCTGATTGTGAAATGTTCTCAATGGCCAATAATAATAATAATAAAACATGGAAATAATAGGTTAACTGTTTTATTTTTAGTGCAGATTTGATATGAATTAATCACTTTATTGATTAAATACTAGTGCTGTTAAGATAAAAGTTTGTATTAACATATACATGTGTACTGTTTATATATGTGTATATTTGTATAAATGCACACACTTACTGTACATAAAATACTAAATTATACAAAATAAATATATTTCCATATTTATATATATTAATTTAAACCAGTTAATTGCAAGTGACAATAGGTCAATATAAAATATTTAATATTTTGAGACCATTTATATTGAGGATTGGGTGAGGAACCAAAAATAAACAGTTTCTGTGAAGCTGTATTTATAAAGCATTATAAAGGTATTCCTAATGTGTCTTATGAGTCAATTCAAAAACCTGTAAAGCAAAAAATAACCTCGGACGACAACACTAATGTGTGTTTATTCAGGGAAAGGCCTCAAACTTGCAACAGCGCCTAGATTAATAACCTAGATTATTTCTATTAACAGGGTATGAATGAACCGCCTGACCTTTCTGTACATTCCTGAGAAAGTCTTAAGAGTCTGAGAAAGCTTTTCTTTTATTATTAATTAACTTTTTATAAACTGAGGTTGACTTTTCATTCTTAGATCAATAGTGTTTGTACTGAATCTGTTTATTTATGATAATTATTCTTATATATGATAAATATTTTTGTAAGTGTTTAGTTTAGCTTGTTAAGAAAACTTAGTGTAATTTGTTTTTATGCAGAATCATGAACACATTTTTATATATTAATGTGTGAGTTAATTATGTTCAGAATTTAAGAATAAAAATAAGATAATACATTAATAATTAAATAAATAATACATTAATAATTCTAATTACAATTTTAGAATTATTCATTTATAATCTTATATTTTATAATATATATTTATGAAATAGACAGACAGACAGACAGACAGACAGATAGATAGATAGATAGATAGATAGATAGATAGATAGATAGATAGATAGATAGATAGATTAAAACAGTTGATAGATAGATAGATAGATAGATAGATAGATAGATAGATAGATAGATAGATAGATAGATAGATAGATAGATAGATAGATAGATAGATAGATAGATAGATAAAAACAGTTGATAGATAGATAGATAGATAGATAGATAGATAGATAGATAGATAGATAGATAGATAGATAGATAGATAGATAGATAGATAGATAGATAAAAATAGATAGATAGATAGATAGATAGATAGATAGATAGATAGATAGATAGATAGATAGATAGATAGATAGATTAAAACAGTTGATAGATAGATAGATAGATAGATAGATAGATAGATAGATAGATAGATAGATAGATAGATAGATAGATAGATAGATAGATAGATAGATAGATAGATAGATAGATAGATAGATGGATGGATGGATGGATGGATGGATGGATGGATAGACAGACAGATAGATAGATTTGCAGAATAACATTGAGATGTTTTAAAAGCAGTTAAAAATAAAATTATATTTTTAATATAATTTAAAAAATGTAATTATCAAACAATATTTTTAATTTCATTCTAACTCATGTAGTTTGTCATTTTGTTTTATGTTTTAGTCATTAACTATTATATATTATATATATAAAATAGTTATTCCACCGTGGAATGAACCGCCAACTTATCTAGCATATGTTTTACGCAGCAGATGCCCTTCCAGCTGCAACCCATCATTAAGAATATAAATATATTCTTACGAATTCAAACGAAAATGGAAAGTATTACACGATTAATACTCAAAATATTAGTTCAAATCTCCTAAATAAATGATGACGCACTTGATTTTCCCTCTCTAAAGATGTTACATTAGTTTAATAAACCCACATTTGATGATTCATTTCTACGGTGCACACAATTTTCTCACGTAATTTCACAATAATTCACAGCCATGTCTTTGTAATGCATGACTGGTGAAATCCTCTCCGCCGACACTGAAACTGTAAATGCCATTAATGTTTCTACTTGCAGCGCACTGCGTTCGTCATATAAATGATTCGGGAGTGATGTAATAATATTAATAGCAGCTCTGAGGAAAAAGGAGGCGTATCGGGCCACACCTGCTCCTCCTGCTTCACCTGAGATATGATTTATGATCTACAGTATATTAAATTAAGGGCGGGTGTGTGATCTCCAGACCTTTATGTGACCCCTGATCACAGTGATTTGTTAATGAACTCTTTTATTAATGAATATGAGCGTATACTATGACAATATACTAAACTAAATAATATTTGTAATATGAGTGCTGATTAAATATGAACTTAAACAACAATAAAAACAGCACAAATCCATTATATGTGTCAGAGTGAAACACGTACAACCATCCCACATGAAAAAATACTATTAAGTTATAGTATATAGGGTAATACACTGTATATTATAGTTTTTACAACACTTTGTTAATAAATTGGCCGTATGAGTGTGTGTTTGTGGATGTGTATGGGTGTTTCCCAGTACTGGGTTGCAGCTGGAAAGGCATCCGCTGCATAAAACATATGCCGGAATAATTAGCAGTTCACTCCGCTGTGGTGACCCCTGAAATAAAGACTAAGCTGAAGGAAAATGAATGAAAAATGCCAGATATTGTCTTGAGATACTCTTGGTCTGTCCTGATTTCACTGTTCTCCCACTGGGAGGAGTACGTCTATCTGCATCACACACACACACACAGGCTGCTGATGTATGTGTGTGTGTGATTGTGTAATAGTGTGAGGTGTGGGCTCTGTCGATCGTAACTGCAGTCATGAATGTGGTCTGTCAGCTTCAGTGGAATGGAAAGGGAGGAGCAGATGAAGACAGATATAAAACCACAGTAAAAACCTACAATCTCAATCCAACAGCAAAACCACAACACTGCTACGCCTCATGGACGGTACGCTTACATGTTTTCTATATTCCATAATAAAGATAAATTCTATATATCTATATTTTATTTTATTTCTCTAGACAGGTATTTTGGTAAACTAAAAAACATTAGCAATTAAGTTGGTAATCTTAAATAGTAATGAGTTATTTAAGTTAAATGACCATGTATGCACTGTAGAAAATATCCTAAATTAGCAGTTTTTCATAATCTGTGATTCATGTTTTTATTTTTTCCTCCCATTTATTTCTGATTTTGAATTACATTTTCGGGTCTTAATCTTTCGTCCAACAAATTTTAACCTTGATAAGTTATATAAATATTTTTATGTACCAAAAAATGTGATTTTAAAGGATTTAAATTAAGCATTTTAGAACAATTATTATTATTATTATTAATTATTATTATTGTTATTATTATTTAACTGTTTAACTTGAAAATAAATAAATATCAATAATAGTTGATAAAACTGTTGAAAAAAAAATATTGAATTTAAAATCATTCACCAAACTGTTTTCCTGGAAATTAAATAATAATAATAATATTTGATCAAATTAAATAAAATAAATAATAATATTTTAAATAAATAATAATAATTTTGATGAAGCTGTTGAAAAAAAAGAGTTTAAATTTATTTACCAAACTCTGTTTAACTGGAAATTACATAAATAAATAAATGAATAATAATAATTGATCAAATTAAATAAAATAAATAATAATATTTGAGATAAATAAATGAACAAATAATATTTGATAAAACTGTTGAAAAAATATTGAGTTTAAAGTCATTAACCAAACTGTTAATCTAGAAATTAAATAAGTAAATAATACTACTAATAATATTTGATCAAATAAATAATAATATTTGAGATAAATAAATAATAATATTTGATAAAACTGTTGAAAAAAATATTGAGTTTAAAATCATTTAACAAACTCTTTTTAAATGAAAAATAAATAATAATAATAATAATATTTGATCAAATAAAATAAAATAAAAAATAATATTTGAGATAAATGAATAATAATAATAATATTTGATAAAACTGATTAAAAAAAGAGTTTAAAGTTTTTAACCAAACTCTGGTAAACTAATAATTAAATAAATAAAATAAATAAGAATATTTGAGATAAATAAATAAAAATATTTGATACAACTGTTGAAAAAAAGTATTGAGTTTAAAATTATTTAACAAACCCTGTTTAATTAAATAACTAATATTAATAATAATAATAATAATTAATCGAAGAAAATAAATAACAATATTTAAAATAAATAATAACATTACTTGATAAAACTGTTGAAAAAAATATTGAGTTTAAAGTCATTTAACAATCTTTTTCCTTTTTAATTCATTGTATTTTTGTATTTTACCGCAGAATTTAAGTTTGTAAGTGTGAACCTGCAGCCGGTCCAGAACCAGCTCCAGCACAGGACGGACGGTCTGAGCTCCGGCTCTCTGGTAGTGCGGAGAGGACAACCATTCACTGTGACAATCAACTATGCCGGACGACCATACGACCCACTGCGGGAAAAACTACAGTTCATATTCATTCTAGGTGTGTCTGTGTGTAATAATAACCCAACTTTCACAACACTCTCCCTGCATTAATCATCAGTACGCCTCTAATCAAGTCAGATCCAGAGTAACACTTTCACTACAAGATATTAAATCAAATTATATATTTATTAATTATATTATAAATTCTATCTTTAAAAATAAATGTATTAATTTAAATGTAAGATTTGTGTGTTTGAACTATATATATTTACACTGTCCTACTTATATTATACTTCTTGTCAACAAAATAGGTTTGATGCGCCTCGCGTTCTCAGAACAGCACATTAGGTCTATAAATATATATATTTTATAAACAATTGAATAATTAGTATGTGTATAATGTGTTTGTGCTGTGGTGTGCAGGTCCCCTGTCAGTGGAGGTGCCCGTCTCCTCATATGGACAGCCGTCTTCATCAAAGTGGTCTGCAGTTCTGGAGCGCGGTTTACCAAACCCCAGTGGCTCTCGAGCTCTGACTGTGTCACTAAGCAGCCCTGCGTCCTCCTCTATAGGAGTGTACACACTCCAACTGACAGTCCAGACTCGCTCCAGCACCAAAACACATCTACTGGGCCAGTTCACACTCCTCGCCAACCCCTGGTGCCAAGGTGAGCTGAAGAGACAAATACAGAGGGACAGTTCATGCAAAAATGGAGATTCTGTCATCATTTACCCATCTTGTACTGTCAACACTAATACGGTTTTGTTTAAAAAAATGCACATTTTTCTTTCCATTTTAGCCTTCCGTCTGTGCAGTTAATGGATCAAGGTGTTCATTTCTTGAACTTATCATAGGATTTTCATCAGAATTTTTTACTAACTATATACCTATTTTTATCTCTTTTTTGAGTGAATTTAAAGGGCCATGAAACCCCTTTGTTTCAGCAGGGTGTTTTCACACCTCTACTTTGGAAAAAGTCAGAAAAGTGGGCGTGTCCAGCTCTGTTTAGGGGGGGAGTGTCGGAGGAAGAAAAGAGGCATGGTGTGGGAGTGTCTATTTGGGCGCGCTGAATTTCAGAGTCAAAACACACACCCAACAGGGGAGAAAGTGACTGTGTTTACATGGACATCTGTAGTCGAATTATTAGCCAAATTATTAAATGGTGGACTTTAACTGCAGTTTGGCTCTTTCATTCAGGGAATTCATTCATGTCCCTCGTCACAAACGAGATATTTGATTTGAGGAACTGCTCTAAGCGCGTATTTTCGTGCAATGTTTGATACCGCACGGCGAATGAGAGAATAAAAACCTCAGCATTTCCCAGAAACTTAGATGCACACGGCAGGTAGCGTCAGAAAGCCGCGTGTGTTATTCCCGTCACAAAATCCTACACGAGGTTATAGTTTGGTTGTAGAGCTAACTTGTTTACACTCTGTGCAATAGTTCGATACGAATAAAATACAAACTGAATAAACAAAGAGCACTGCTCGCTCACTTACCAAATCTGTAGAGACAGGACAATCACCAGCAACTAGAGCCGCGTCTTTATTAAGAGGAGACTACAAGCGAATCCGGATCTCAGCGTTTGCAGATGAGAACAGCTCTCAGGTAAACAATGTTCCTCCTTAGACACGTAAGTTATTGTTGTCGAGCATCGCGTACACTGTTAATCCACATTTGACTCCAGCTGAGCTCTCACAGAGAGAAAATGAAAACGAAACTTAACGGCAGCAAACTATAAAAGCAACACTTCACGCTTGTTTTGCCAACACAACGTGGCGTCTCTGTCGTCTGAACACTATGAGAGTAATGAATATTAATGAAGTTGCACAATAGAGCGCGCTGATTGGTTTGAACCAAGCCTTACTCATGCATTAATGCATCACACTGTAAGACGTAATAAGACACACTCTGGCACAGACGTCCAGTCTGCACGCTGGAATACACAATATTATGTCATGGCCGTAACGCAGCTTCAAAAATTTGTTTCAAATCGGAAGTACGAATTTGCTTGAAATAAAGCAAAAACAACCAATTTACACTTTTTAGTGAAATATAGGTGTCCTAATAGTGTTTTTAGCAGTGTGGGACACATATACGACTGTCAACAGCTCAAAACATGTGTTTTGGTGTTTCGTGACCCTTTAAGTAGAATCGAGTTTTTCTGGGATTTTATTGAGCGTGTATGGATTATTGCTTTCCTTTATTATCATTAAACAAAGTTCACCTGTAATAATCCCTCTGTTTCCATCCTCAGCGGACTCTGTGTTCCTGCAGTCGGAGGATCTCAGGAATGAATACGTCAGGAGTGATTTCGGCCTGTTGTTTAAAGGCACCCCCGGTAATGTGGTCTCCAGACCCTGGTCTTTCGGTCAGGTGAGGTGTTGAGTCATTGACTCTGAAAGCACCAAACAAACCCTCCTTATTAACCAAACTCCTGTCTTTCAGTATGAAAAGGGTCTTCTGGACATCTGTATGAAGCTGCTGCAGCTCAGTCCTCAATCTCAGACAGACATGAAGAGAGATCTGCTCAACCGCTCCAGTCCTATTTACATCGGCCGCGTCATCTCGGCTATGGTGAGCACATCCTGTCTTTATAGAAATGATCCTGCTGTTTACTTGAGGGCTCCTATTTTTGTTACTTTAGGTTTACATCCAAGGCCAGCCTGTGCTCTTATTAGCTATGGTTTACCTACTCTCTTCTGATAAGTTGCCTGACTTTACTCTGTTCCGATTGGTCAGATGGCTTTAATCTATTTTGATTGGCCAAATGGCTCAACTCTTTTCTGATTGGTCAGATGACATTACTCTGTTCTTAATAGTCAGATGGCTTTATTCTGTTCTGATTGGCCAGATGGCTCTACTTTACGCTTATTAGGCAGGTGGAATCTGCCCTGATTGGTCAGATGGCTTTACTCTTTTCTGATTGGCCAGATGTCTCTACCTTTATTGGCCAGATGGCTCAACTCTTTTCTGATTGGTCAGATGACAGTACTCTGTTCTTAATAGTCAGATGGCTTTATTCTGTTCTGATTGGCCTAAAGGCTCTATACTATACTCTTATTAGGCAGGTGGATTTACTCTGATCTTATTGGTCAGATGGCTGCACTCTGTTCTGATTGGCCAGATGGCTCTACTTTACTCTTATTGGGCAGGTGGAATTACTCTGTCCTGATTGGTCAGATTGCTTTCCTCTATTCTGATTGGTCAGATGGCTTTACCCTTATTGGCCAGATGGCTTAACTCTTTTCTGATTGGCCAGATGGCTCTACTCTACTCTTTGTAGGCAGGTGGATTCACTCTGTTCTTATTGGCCAGATGGCTTAACTCTTTTCTGATTGGTCAGATGGCATTACTCTGTTCTGAAAAGTCATACAGCTGTACTCTGTCCTGATTGGCCAGACGGCTCTACACTACCCTGATTGGTCAGATGGCTATACTCTGTTCTGGTTGGTCAGATGACAAAACTTTGCTCAAATTGGCCAAACGGCGCTAATCTGCTCCTATTGGTCAGCTGATTGTACTTTGCCCCAATTCACCAGATGGCTCTTCTCTTATTGGCCAGATGCCTTTACTTTGTTCTCATTGGTCAGATGGCTTCACTCTGCTCTTATTGGCCAGATGACCCTACTCTACTCTTATTGGTCAGTTGGCTCCACTTTGCTCTGATTGGTCAGATTATCATACTTTGCTCTAATTAGCTAAATAGCTCTAATCTGCTTCTATTGGTCAGCTGGTCATACTCTGCACCATTTGGCCAGAGGGCTCCACTTTTATTAGTCAGATGGTTTTACTCTGTTCTGATTGGACAGATGGCGCTGCTCTACTCTTATTGGCCAGATGCCTCTACTTTGTTCTCATTGGTCAGATGGCTTTATGCAGCTCTTATTGGTCAGATGGCCCTACTCTACTCTTATTGGCCAGATTGCCCTACTCTACTCTTATTAGCCAGATGGCTCTACTTTGTTCTCATTGGTCAGATGGCTTTAAGCTACTCTTATTGGTCAGATGGCCCTACTCTACTCTTATTGGCCAGATTGCCCTACTCTACTCTTATTAGCCAGATGGCTCTACTTTGTTCTCATTGGTCAGATGACTGTACTTTGTTCCAATTAGCCAAATGGCTTTAATCTGCTCTGATTTGTCAGATGACCATCCTATGCTACAATTGGTCAGATGACTTTACTCTGTTCTGATTGGTCAGATGGCTCTACTTTGCACCAAATTGTCCAGATGGCTCTACTTTAATTGGTCATGGCTTTACTCTGTACTGATTGGTCAGGTGGCCTAGTCTGCTATGATGGGCCAGATGCTTCCAATCTGTTCTGATTGGCCAGATGGCCCTATTCTGCTCTGATTGACAGGTTAACAACACCAATCACGCTTTTCCGTCTCAGCTACAATTACAGTATATGAGAATCATCGCAGACATGGTCTGTTGTCAGCAAATAAAGACCACAGACTGACATTTTGCAAATTTATTGCATTCCTGTGGAGGTTTGATGGGCTGATTTACATTCACAAGCAGCTGCAGACTACATTGAAGGTAAGGATGAGCCCGTTAATCCAGTCTGTGTCTGTGAACAGGTGAACTGTCAGGATGATAAAGGCGTGTTGATGGGGAACTGGTCAGGTGACTACAGCGATGGTGTCAATCCCTCAGTGTGGTCGGGCAGCGCAGACATTCTCAGGATGTGGTCAGAAACACAGTTCAGTCCTGTCAAATACGCCCAGTGCTGGGTGTTTGCTGCGGTCATGTGCACAGGTGTGACGATGTTAATTATTACACAATTGCACACTTTTGTTACCTACATGCACAAAAGCTAATCCAGGCAGTCAAATGACATGTTTCATTCCCTCTGTTCATCTCTGTGCAACAGTAATGCGAGCGCTCGGTATCCCGACTCGAGTGGTGACCAACTTTAACTCAGCTCACGACACCAACGGGAACATGGTGATAGAGGAGTATTACACCGAGATGGGGGAAAAACTGTCCATCGGCCGGGACAGCATCTGGTGAGAGGAGTCTCTGATTATTATTGCGAAAACATACACGCTACAACATGCTGGGTTGTCAAAACCCTGCATTGAGTCAACATCGTATTCACCATTTAATGATTGGTCTACATTTGACCCAGCGTCTGTCTCATTTGCCCAGTTAGCTTGGTTCGTCTGGCATATGGGAATCCAGCAATCGCGCTCGGATCCACGCCAAATCAATCAGTCTGAGATCGATTGAATGAGGTGGTCTTGATTCGATTGAAACGATCTCTGGAGCGGATCGATTGTAATGAGGAAGCGATACGATTCGAGCCAGGCTATATCACTGTGTATCATGGATATGTAACAGGCATATGGCCATATAAAGAGAGAATTATGAGTAAGGCGAGAGGTCGAAAGTACAGTAGTTCCTAGTGTATTGTATAAAAAAATGAACACTGAAAACTCACAGCCCATGTACAAACTGGGGAACACAAAGTCCTACACTTTGTAAATGAACACACATGTGAAGTTAATAAAGATAAATTGGCCATTTCAAATAAACATATTTGCACTTCAGTAAACATAAATAAACCATCTTAATTATCTCGGTGCTGAAAAAATGCGACTGTAGTCAGTAACGCGGATTGAGTGCTTTTATAAGATGACAAAAGTCCACATCTCCAATCACCGAAAACGGCTGCAAATCTTTAAAAATAAACACCCGCACTGCCTTTGTTATTTTTATGTCTCTCGAAACCAGTTGGGTATGTTTTCTGGAAAGATTCAGCGAGGGATTGTTGCTATTCGGAGGACTTGATATTGCAGTGATATTGCTGGGTGATGCGCTGCAGATGTGCAGTCATGGTTATACGTGTAAAACAATGCTTGCACACAGTTATTTTTTGTTCACCGTTTTTTCTTTTATTGGCATTATACTAACCAGCAAAACCCAAATTTCCTCACACCGGAGATTTGAAAGACGCCGGCGCTTTCTCGTACTGTTGCCTCACTTCGCCGGTGCTTCCTTGTACTGTTGCCTCAACCTCACTTCACTGCTCGCCATGTTAAAGTGTGGAATGATGGTCTAGCGCCCCCTAACCTTAGTCAAAGTCAAAGTCAGCTTTATTGTCAATTCAGACACATGTACAAGACATACAGAGAATCGAAATTGCGTTACTCTCAGACCCTAGGTGCTTAACATTAATATAAAATATATATATAAAAAATAGTAGAGTTTAAGTAAAAAAGAAAATTTACAGTATATACATTGCACATAAATGTGGTCTAAAAAATATACATATGTAATAAGAATTGTAAACAATACAGTGACATTAAGGGCATATAGCAATGAGTGCAAAGTAAACCAGAGTTGTGCAGATAAAAAACAGTATAGTGCAAAAAGAACTTGTAAACATGATAATTGTGATAAAGTGACAGTGACATATTGGGAGGTAGTATAGTGATTGGATATTTACTTGCGGGGAGGAGTTTCCTCATCTAAGCTCATGGATTTACAGGCACACACAGTCAATTCAAGGAGATATAAAGCGCACATAAATTATTTGAACGCAAAACCGAGAAAACCACAATACACAAGCGCGTATTGAACCGTGGAGGTCGTACCGTAGTTTAATACTATATTGAGAACCCTGGCATCCCTAGTATATACACTTTCATGAAACAGTTTTGTCTATATTTTAGTAAAACTATTTGCATTATCAATAGATTATATACAATTGACTGCAAAGCTGTGCATTAGAAGTCTTTGCCTTTTTTCAGGAACTTCCACGTGTGGGTGGAGAGCTGGATGAAGAGGCCTGATCTGGGCCAAACTTATGATGGCTGGCAGGTTCTAGACCCCACACCACAAGAGGAGAGCGCAGGTTTATTATGCACACATTACACACAGCTTAACACTAGGTCTGAGTCCTGCTGCACATTCACTGTTAACACTAAAACATGTAGTGAAAAGATTTTTATTTTATTTTTTTAATGAATTTCTGCTTAATAAGCATTTATTTGGTTATAAATACACAAAACTGTAAAATGTAGAAATAATAAAATTTCGTAATTGAAATAAATTAGACGTGATTCAGGGCTGATTTTTTGCATCAAATCTCTGGTCTTCAGTGTCACATGATCATTCAGAAATCATTGCTGTTCTATTATGATTAGTTGTTATTGGTACTCAATTTTTAATAATGTAGCTTATAATTATCAATGATGAAACCCTTTTTTTCCTGCTTCATAGTTTTATGGATACATTATTTTTTGTATAACATGTTTTTATTGAGTTTTTTTTTTTTCAAGATTTTACGATAATTTAAACCCCAATACCCAAAACTTACCCGTAGACAGGCTTAGGGGAAAAATTATAATAATAATCCTTATTAAAAAAATACAAAAAAATAAAAATAATATTAAAATAAACTAATTAAATAAAAAAAAGATCAAGCACCAATTTTCATTGCGCAACTTCAGACTGCCAGAGCTTCTTCAATATTTCAATTTCTTTACAAAGATCAAAAACACCTTCCAGATATCACAAAATTCAGAGGATCTTTTCCTAATTATATACAGTTGAAGTCAGAATTATTCTTCCACCTTCAAATTATTTTCTTCTTTTTAAAATGTTTTCCAAATGATGTTTAACAGAGCAAGGAAATGTTCACAGTATGTCTGATAATATTTTTTCTTCTGGAGAAAGTCTTATTTGTTTTATTTCAGCTAGAATAAAAGCAGTTTTTAATTTTTTAAACACCATTTTAATGTCAATATTATTAGCCACTTTAGGCAGATTTTTTTCATCATTAACCATCATTATACAATAACTTGCCTAATTACCCTAACCCAGGGGTGGGCAAACTCGGTCCTGGAGGGCCGGTGTCCTGCACAGTTTAGCTACTGCTCTAATCACAGACACCTGCTTATAGATTTCTAGTGATCTTGAAGACACTGATTATTTTGTTCAGGTGTGTTTGACTAGTGTTGGAACAAAACTCTGCAGGGACACCCGCCCTCGAGGACTAAGTTTGCCCATCCCTGCCCTAACCTGACTACTAGTTACCATAATTAACCCAGTTAAGCCTTTAAATGTCACTTTAAGCTGTATAGAAGTGTCTTAAAGAATATCTAGTCTAATATTATGTGCTGTCATCATGGCAAAGATAAAATAAATCAGTTATTAGAGATGAGTTATTAAAACTATTGTGTTTAGAAATGTGCTAAAGGAATCAGCTCTCCGTTAAACAAGAAATAAACAGGGGGGTGAATAATTCTGACTTCAACTGTACATAATCCAGGATATAAAGGAATTGGACTGGAAATCAATTGTGAAATAAATTGAGTCACTTCCACCCCAAAATTTTAGTTTCTCCTCACACAATGAAAAAATGTACCTTGTATCTTCTTGCACTTAAAACAAAGATCAGGGATATTAGGGTTGAATTTATTTGGTCTTACAGGAGTAATAAAAGTTTTCATTACCCCATTATATTGTTGCAATCTCACACAGGAGTTTAATGTATTTGTTTGTGCATTCAAACTAATGATATTCCAGTCCTCTACTGATACCATTTTTTATCTTAAATCCATGCTAGTCTTTTATTTTCAGAGTTTTCTTTATGATTTTCTCTTAATATGTTATATAATTGTGTAATTAGCTGTCATTAAGTTTACTTTTTAAGTGTTTTTTAGGCTAACTTTAACCTGATTAACCTAGTCAAGCCTTTAATTGTCACTTTAAGCTGAATACTAGTATCTTGAGTAAATTTATTTACTGTCATCATGGCAAGGATAAAATAAATCAGTTATTAGAAATTAATTATTAAAACTATTATGATTAGAAATGTGTTGAAATAATCTTCTTCTACTGTTAAACAGAAATTGGGGAAAAATATACAGGAAGGCTAAGAGTTCAGGAGGGCTGATAATTGTGACGTCAACTGTGTGTGTTGATATTGTGTTGTCAGGAATGTACCGCTGTGGTCCTGCCGCTGTGAAGGCCATTCATGAGCAGAAAGTGGACGCGGCGTACGACGTGCCGTTCGTTTATGCAGAAGTGAACGCAGACGTGCGGACCGTCATCATCAGAGACAGGAAGATTTTAGGCGTCAGTGTTGATAAAGAGCGAGTCGGAGCCCTGATCTGCACCAAACGTCCTGGAGCCATGACTATGCTGGACATCACATCCGAATACAAGACTGAGATGGGTAAGAGAAAGAGAGACACAGAAGAATACTGTAAATACTATTAATCTGATCTTAATGGCAAAATCTCATTTCTCTCATTAGTTCTCAGCTCAGCTTATGCTTTCAGCGCTGATGGTAAGTCTGTTAAATCTTGTTCATTTTAAAGTGTGTCATTTATCAAACTCATAATTAATAACTGTTAAAATTACAACATTTATTGAAATTTTTGAAAATAAATTTACTGAGGTTTACTGACGAAAGCTTTTTAAAAACATTTTTTAAACGTTTTTTATTTTATTACAGTTTAATTAAAAAAAAGTCATTATTAGTTATTATTATTATTTTCTTTTATCTGTCTTTTTGGAAAGCATCACTACAAAGACTTATTGTTATAATTATTATTATTACTATAATAATAATAATAATAATATTGTCATTATTATTACTATTGTTAATATTATAACTATTATTATTACTATAATTATTATTATTATTCCTATTATTATTATTATTCCTATTATTATTACTATTATTATTATTACTATTATTAATATTATTATTATTCCAATTATTATTATTATTATTACTATTATTATTATTCCAACTATTATTATTATTACTATTATTATTATTATTGCTATTACTATTAATATTATTATTATTATTATTACTATTATTATTATTATTATTATTATAATAACAATAATAATAATTATTATTACTATTAATATTATTATTACTATAATTATTATTATTTCTATTATTATTATTATTATTAATATTATTACTATAATAATAATAATAATTATTATTATTATTATTATTATTACTATTATTATTACTATTATTATTACTATAATAATTATTATTATTACTATATTTATTATTATTACTATTATTATTACTATTATTATTTTTATTATATATTATTATTATTGCTATTATTATTACTATTACTAATATTTTTATTCCTATTAATATTATTACTATTAATATTATTACTTTTATTATTATTATTATTATCACTATTATTATTAATATTATTTTAATAACTTTTATTATTACTGTTATTAATTTCATTACTATTACTATTATTATTTTTACTATTATTATTACTGTTGTAATTATTATTATTAATATTACTATTATTATTACTGTTATTAATTTCAATACTATTACTATTATTATTACTACAATTATTATCACTATTATTATTATTATTACTAAACAGATCTAAATGTGTAAAAAATACATGACAAATATTCAGATAGTATATTCAGATAAAGATAGTTGATAAAAATCTTAAAATTTCAAAATAGGGTGTACTCATTTATGTTGAGCACAGTATCTCTAAAAACATCCTCTCTTCCAGTTCGAGGTGGTGAAGCAGCTCCAGCAAGAGTTGGTGAGTTCTTTTACTTGTTTTTTCCCTCCTTATTTGTTTTCTAAACAGAAAAGCTGACAGTAATCCTTCTTTTCTCATTGGGGTTATAGTTCAATTCTCCATTCATTTCTCTTCCTGCAGCTCCGCAGGGTCTTGCAGTTTCCCTCCAGCTTCTGAAAACACCTATAATCGGAGAAAGCATTGCATTCAGCATCATAATCACCAACCAAGCATCCATTCCCAAACTGCTGAGAGCTCACGCGAACGCGCAGAATAAAGAGTATCACCGCAACCCTTTCGGAAGCTTCTGGGAGAAACACCACGAGCTGAAAATCGGCCCCAGTGAAAGTAAGACGACTGCACAATATATTCAACAGACAAACGTGATTTAAATGAGTTAAAACAGGGTTAGAATTCAATATATCAGGTAGGGATAAAGTACAAGTGAAGTCAGAATTATTAGCCTTTAACGGAAAGTAGATTATTTTTCAACACATTTCTAAACATAATAGTTTACAAAAGTGAACATCAACTCATCTCTAATAACTGATTTATTTTATCTTTGCCATGATGAAAGTAAATAATATTAGACTAGATAATTTTCAAGATACTAGTATTCAGCTTAAAGTGACATTTAAAGGCTTAACTAGGTTAATTAGGGTAAAGTTAGGGTAATTAGGCAAGTCATTGTACAACAGTGGTTTGTTCTGTAGACTATCCAAAACTAATGTTGCTTATGGGGGCTAATAATATTGACCTTAAAATGATTTTTAAAAATTAACTGCTTTTATTCTAGCTTTCGCCAGAAGAAAAAAAACATGATAGGATATACTGTGAAAATTTCCTTGCTCTGTTCAACATCGTTTGGGAAATACTTGATAAAAATGTCTAAATATCTGCTCTAAATTGGCCGTAGTGTATGATTTTGTGCATGAATATGAGTGTGTATGGATGTTTCCCAGTACTGGGTTGCAGCTGGAAGGGCATCCACTGTATGAAACATATGCCGGAATAGTTTGCAGTTCATTCCGCTGTGGCGACCCCTGATAAATAAGGGACTAAGCGATGAATGAATCTGCTTGTAAGTCTTTTCACACTTAACTTTATGACTCCTTTTCTTGTCCTCCACCAGCGGTGACTATAAACCAGGAGATCTCCTTCAATGAGTACAAGCTGAAGCAGGTTCTGGAGGATTATCTGGTCAATCTGGCTGTGGTTGTGGAGGATGTGAAGTCTCAGGAGAGAGTTCTGGCTTCAGAAGAGTTCAACATCCACAGCCCGGCCCTCAGTATACAGGTGAAGCACACTCATTCATTCATTTTCCTTCAGCTAACTCCCTGATTTATCAAGGGTCGCCACAGCGGAATGAATCACCAACTATTCCAGCATATGTTTTACACAGCGGCCTGTGGGGGACACCAGAGCACAGAAACCCATGACAACACGGGGAGAACATGCAAACTCCACACAGAAATGCCAACTGGCCCAGCTGGAATTCGAACCAGCGACATTCTTGCTGCGAGGCGACAGTGCTAACCACTGAGCCACCGTGTCGCCCCTTGATAAAACATTATAAAACAGATATATACTGCGCATAAAGCAAAAATAAAGAGATTGATTTAATAAATGAAATAGCGGTTTAATAAGAAACCTTTGTTTTTAGATTCAGAACGAGAACGTCATCGTGAACTCGCCGCAGGTTGCCATGGTGACCTTCACCAACCCGTTTGACGTGGCAGTGACTGGAGAACTAACCGTAGCGGGTTCAGGACTCCTGGAGGAGAAGATCCAAATCAGGTATGTAAAACTCTTAACATTCATTCATTCATCTTAGTCACTTTATTAATCTGGGGTCACCACAGCGGAATGAACCGCCAACTTATCCAGCATATGTTTTACGCAGCGGATGCCCTTCCAGCTGCAACCCCTTACTGGCAAACATCCAAACACACTCATTCACACACATACACCAGACAATTTAGCATACCCAATTCACCTGTACCGCATGTCTTCTGGACTTGTGGGGGAAACCGGAGCACCCGGAGGAAACCGACGCGAACACGGGGAGAACATCCCAGTGGAAACTCCACACAGAAAAGCCAACTGACCCAGCTGAGGCTCGAAACAGCAACCTTCTTGCTGTGAGGAAATTGTGCTACCCACTGTGCCACAGTGACGCCCTAAATCCAATTCAGTTCAATTCACCTTTATTTGTATAGCGCTTTTAAATAGTCTCAAAGCAGCTTTACATAGAAGATCATAGTGAATTGAAACAGTGTTAGTTCAGTTTTCAGAGTTTAAGCTCAGTTCAGTTCAGCTCAGTGTGGTTTAATAATCACTACTGAGAGTACAAACCAAGTGTGCCGCAAGCCTGCGTTTGAGTGAAGGTCTCGGCCGTTAGATCGCCCCCTGGGGGCTGGCTGCAGTACAAGTCATAAAGCCCGCCTCCTCCGTGTTAATGAAGGAGACTTGAGGCCAAATAAAAAAATTTATTACACTTGCAATAAAATGTCCCGAAAGATGGTTCTGGTCGATTAAGGCACTGATTATTGTGCTGAAATAGGTGCAGATCTTCATTTTTGTAAACAGTTTGTTTTTAGCAGTAATTTAATGCTGGGCGTGTCATCGTGATTGACAGCTGTGATTGACAGTTTCTCAAAGCAGCGCGTCTGAGCTTCGGCAGGAGACTGAAGTGTTAATATTCGATTTCTGCGTTATTTTACCATGACAAAATGAGTTCAGCAGTAAACTACAGTTTCTGACATACATGATCCTGGTGGAACACTGTTTATTTGCTAAGGTCAGGGCTTTTTTCGGGCTTTATTAGTTTGCTGATACACGCCTAACCACCCAGATGGCAAAATACACTCGGACCAGTTCGGCTAGATTCTCGCCTGCCGGAGACTTATCCCTCAGAGCTCAGACTGACTACCTCTGCTGGACCTACTCCGGATGCCTGGACTCACTACCCGATTCCAGCCCGAGTAATTCGAGTCAGATGCGGCGGCCGAGCGAGCCGGCGCTGCCGCATGCGAGCCGGAATCAGCCCGCGACGCCGCGAGTAGGTTATGCGCTGCGGCCCGGAGCTGGCGCGATTGAATATAAAAAAACCCTCAAATTTGTTAACGTTATTACATCCATTTGTGTTGATATGACAGCAAACGCATGCTGAGAAGTTCGGGGGGCGTGGTTGATTTTACATAAGGCGTTTGGTTGGAAGCTCGACTCCGCTCATTTTCGCGGCTCCTCCTCTGGCTCCATCAGACAATCCTTCTGCGCATGTCAAGGCTCCAATTTCCGCAGTCTTTTGCGACAGTTTGTGCCCGTCAAGCAGGCGTTTTGCCCTCAAGGCGTTCAATGGGAAAAGGGGCTGTCGCGTCGTCCATATTTTTTACAGTCATTGGTACAAACACTGAAGAGCAAATCCATCGATGCACAGCTCTACAGATCTTAAACCATGCAAGCCAGTGGCGACAGCAGCGAGGAAAAAAACTTCACTAAAAGTGAAGAATTAAAATACCTTGAGAGAAACCAGGCTCAGCACGACCATTTCTCCTCTGGCCAAACGTTTTGTGCAGAGCTGCAGTCTAGGCGCTGGAGAAGCTGGACGTCAGCGAGACGTCTCATGCTCTCCACTCCTCCATGACCACCACAGCAGCTGCTCAGGCTACAGCCTGGTCCAGGACTATGGAAACCTTGGGATTATCTCGTTGCTGGTCTTGGATCGTATGAGTATCGGAAGAGTATCCCCAGGTGGAATTAGAGAATAAAGAGAATAATTAGTGTAGCTGCTGTTCATATTGTATATAAACGAGATGCAGAAACCTTTGTGGAGCACATTCATGTATTATACTGCCCTGAGTGTATGCTGCATGTATTAAGTGATGCCCTGAGTGTATGCTTTATTAAAAAAGATAGGTCTTTAATCTAGTGTTGAACTGCAAGAGTGTGTCTGAGTCTCGGACATTATCAGGAAGGCTATTCCAGAGTTTAGGAGCCATAAATGAGAAGGCTCGACCTCCTTTAGTGGACTTTGCTGTTCGAGGTACTATTTAGAAGCCCTGAGTTTTGAGATCTTAAAGAGCGAGTTGGATTGTAGCAAGACAGAAGGTTGGTTAGACAAACAGGAGCTAGATTATTTAAAGCTTTATAGGTAAGAAGCAATATTTTATAATCAATGCAAAACTTAACAGGCAGCCAGTGTAAGGAAGATAAAATTGAGGATAAAATATTTTTTACAGTGTGTACAATGTTAACCACTCACCCTCATCATGAGCAGTGATAGTCAGTGTTGCCCCAAATTATTATTGATGTTATTATTTCATCTTTCAGAGTCTCGATGCAGCCTCGAGAGGCCGTGAGGAGGCCTGTTCGTTTCATTCCTCAGATGACGGGCGCCAAGATGCTTTATGCTTGTTTAGTGTTGATCAATCTGCCCACCGTCCTGCACGGTTTCAAGACCCTCAGTGTTCAAGCAGCTTAGAGATGTCCCAGACATGGGCACTTGGAGGTCAAAATGATATCAAATTCACATTATATATTTATTTATTGTGTCATTTTGTGTCTAAATATTGCTGTTTTTTTGGTTTGAATGATTTTGAATTGTATATTTATACAGTGTGTTCATGCAAAAGCCTGAAAATAAAGTATTTCTAACAATATTTCAGTGATAACACTAGTGTTTTCCAGCAGAGGGCAGACTTATATATACCTGAAACTGTAATAAACATTTATTCAACTCTTTACAGCAGTTTCAGATTGCATGACTTATGCTGAACTGTATTTGAAATCATTGTTCTATCTTTGGATGTATTATTGGAATGATAGATTAATGAAAAACATTAGTAAGTGCTTTAGTTATCATCGTGAACTTCACACTAATCTTCTGAATGTTTGTCAGTGCTGCATGGGGCTCTGTCTCCCCCGTGTGGCCGCTCTGGAGCTGCTGAAGGTCGGCCTGCGCTCTGAGTTTCTTCCGGTCTCAGTGATCGATGTCTCGGCTAATTTTACACTCTGTGAACTAAATCACCACCGTCACCATCGCTCACACTGCTGGAAGTGGAGCAGAGAGCACTGCACTACCTCGAGAGCACACACCAGAGAGCTGTTTTCTACGATGGTGGTTTTTAATATGCTTTTGCAATGTATGTTTTTTGAAGTATGTCAGCTCTCTGCTAAAAAATCCAGATTAAACCAGCCTAGGCTGGTTGGCTGGTTTTAGCTGGTCGACCAGGCTGGTTTTAGAGGTGTTTTGGCCACTTCCAGGCTGGTTTCCAGCCATTTCCAGCCTGGTCTTAGCTGGTCAGACTGGGAGATGACCAGCTAAAACCAGTTTGACCAGCCTAGCCAAGCTGGGAGTCCAGCCAAAACCAGCTATATCCAGCTTAAACCAGGCTGGTCAAGCTGGTTTTAACTGGATTTGGCTGGTCATTTTCAACAAGCTTAACTTAATATTTGTTGTCAATTTAGTTGCTAATTTAGCTTAATTTGGTTAATTGGTTATTTGTTGATAGCTGTTCTGAATATTTATGCTGGCTAAATCATTTTATAATAAGGTTAAAGCTGCTAAATCATATATAAGGACTTAATAAGAAGAAATATTTTTGAAAAAACTGAATTTTTTAGGCGTAAATCATTTGCTGGAATAGTTAGGGGATCATTCAGCTGTGTCGACTCTGAAATGGAGACTGAGCTAAAGGAAAATGAATGAATTTATGTTTGACAGGGTGCGCGCTACGTGTCTGACGAGCGAGGAGGGATGCGGTGGGGAGGGGTGAGAAGGGTGCGCCATGTATTTAAGGATCGCGACGTATTCGCACTTTCTGTATTTTGCACCGTTGTTGTATTTGCACTGTCTGTATTTTGTACTGTCTGGAGCCAGCACCTAAACTTTTCACTCGTCATAGCCAGGACCAGACGGTATCTGCGGACGTTTTTTGCTATTTCTGCGGAGAATTTTTGTAAAAATCTGCGGATTTTTGCCGAATTATTTTGGGAGTGTCCAGCGGAGTATCATAACTAAAACCTTAATATATTACACAAAAGTAACAAATTACTGAATAAAAACTCAAATTCAGATTTACACATTTACTCAAGCAAAAAAACAGAATTTATAATGGGCTCAAAATCTACAGAAATCTGCGGAATTCTGCGGAAAATCTCCGGAAAATCTCCGGAATTCTGCGCGCGCAGATTCCGTGTGGGCCTAGTCATAGCACACGTGCTGCTGATGATGTGACAACAAAAGTGATTTGATTTGAGACACAAGATTTCCGGGAGATTATCACTTGTTTGCAGGCATCCGTGAGTCTCTATGCATTTGCGGGAGACCCCTGGGACTTCTGGGACACTTGGGATGTCTGAAAGACTGTTGACGTTCCACCACAAGATGGCAACAGACCGCATAAGCCCTTAGGGGAGAAAAACAGCAATTTTTTTTTGAGTATGTTTCAAACTACAGCTGATTAAATCATTATAGAACAGGGAAGTGATATTATAAGTCGATCTCTCTCTTTTGTATGTTATAATGCTGTAGTTATACCACAGTAATCTGCTAGTGTTTGCTTTGCTCTGACTTTTGAGGTTAATTATTGTGATCTCCAGATTGCAACAGAGAAATGCTGGGAAATCACTGTAGACTGATGGCATTTCATGCCGTTCAGCCTTATAATCTCAAAATGTAAGCAAAATCAGCAGTTTTGTCTTCACTTCAGACATTACGCTAGAGAATCATTCAAACACTAGCTCTAAAGTGATATTGGTGAAGTAGCAACGTTTTCTGCTGTTTGATGTGTACGAATGGTGGAAGAAAGTAGTTCCTCATACAAAAGGGTTTTTGAGACTGTGATTATCTTTTTTATACGCACGATTATGCGGTCGAACTGTTGTATAAACACAATATCACACGAGTAGCAGTGTGATATGGCTGTATATCGTCACTGGTGGGCCACTGAGGCACTCGGTCTGCAGCCTGGAGCCATTGCACTCCTCTCACTAGTGCTGAGATACAGCCACATCGCACTGCAACTCGTGCGATATTGCTCATATATCACAATGTGTGCTTATATATTTTTGTACATGGTATGTTTGCATCTGCATTGTGAAGCCGTAAAGTTTCTCTCGATCCTACCACACATCTTATAACCTGCAGCTATTTTTCCTGACAGCTCTTTGCGTGCACTTTAATATCACTGCTGTGTTTAGGCCACAGTCTCAACCAATGATTCATTTTCCTTCAGCTTAGTCCCTTTATTTAAAATGGGTCACCACAGCGGAATGAACCGTCAACTTATCCAGCATATGTTTTACACAGCGGTTGCCCTTTAAGCTGCAACCCAGTACTGGGAATCGTCCATTCTCATATATACACCAAGGCCAATATAGTGCATAAGTTCCCCCATAGCGCATGTGTTTGGACCGTGGGGGGAAACCGGAGCATCCGGAGGAAACCCACACCAACACGGGGAGAACATGCAAACTCCATACAGAAATGCCGACTGCCCACCTGGGACCAGGGCCGGCGCGTCCATAGAGGCGACCTAGGCGGCCGCCTAGGGCGGCAGTATAGAGAGGGCGGCGTCTGCGACACCTCCCTTTCCACCCGCGTCCTCAGATATATTCGCGCATAGACGATAGAATAGAGAGGGCGGCGTCAGCGTCACCTCCATCAGCACCCGCGTGTCCTCAGTTATATCCACGCATAGGGCAGCAGAATAGAGAGGGCGGTGATGGTGTCCGCCAGTCCGCGACTACTTCCCTCGCTTCCTCAGCACCCGCGCGTCCATTATATCCACGCATAGAGCGCCGGAAAAGAGCACCTCACTTCTTTTTCATAACCGGTCACTTTCGTTTTCACATTGGGGTTGAGGGCGGCGTGATCGTCCTCTGCCTAGAGCGGCAGTTCAGCTTGCTCCGGCCCTGCCTGGGACTCAAATTAGCGACCTTCTAGCTGTGAGGCAACAGTGCTAACCACTGAGCCAAAAAGAAAACAACTCCTAAATGTGATGAACAAAAGCCAAATCCTGATCTAAAATGAGACCCGAATCAAACCAGCAACATTCATCCCAAACTATTTGTGCTGGAGAAACTCCGAAACCCTTTAAAACTATTTCAGTCATGAGCACGTGAATATAACAGACAGAAATGCAAATGTCGCCAACACATCATGGCTGTTTACCGTCACACCAAATGCTAATGTTATTCAGTGTAGGCGCCAAGAGTCGCTTCTCTCTGTCTGTCGTCTCTAACAGTCATGGAGCAGCGTTATGCACTGAATGCCTCTGAATATGGAAAGACATCAGCTTTCATATCATCCGGAGCGAACACAATGTTCTCAGTCTGTTTCCATACAAGCAAGAGTTGCATACGCCTGGGAAATAAAGACACGGTGCGGTGGTGACATTACACATTACATAGCAAGAGTTCCCTATTAGATGAAGAAGGTTTGAAAAATGTCATTGCTTGTGTGTAGGCAGTGTTTATTATTCTTTGATCAAACCATTGGAGAAAGAAGCGCAAATCCTGCAACTATAGGTTTCTGATGTTATTAATAATGCGATGTGGAGGGAAGTCTTTATGAGACATTGCAAGTCATTAATTGGTTGGAAATATTATATAATTCAAGACCATATAACCAGACTTTTTGTCAGTTATTGAATTCGTTACGATCACCAGTGATCTAGCGTTTGCAAATCACTGGAGAACTCCAAATCTGCCACGTTAATGAACTACAGATCCCACCATGCACTTCACTCACAGAATGAAATGCTTGACAGAAACCATATATAAATACATTAGATGTCGCCTGGCCTATTGTTGTCTATTGGACGGAATGCATACATAGCGCCGCCATCTTGCTACAGGGTAGCGCTCCTTTGAAATGAATGCGGGACCAAGGTACAGTGGAGGACTGTGGCCATCCAAAGCCAGAGATATACACATATACACATATATCTGTGATCGGGAGTTTTCCTGGATGTTAGTATGCAATTTTTTTTCTAATTACGAAAATTATAATTTTACGTCACTTTTCTACATTGATGGATCAGTGACCGCACGGGCATTCCTGACAAAAAGCTTGTGTTTGTGTGTACAGAAATGAACTATCCACCCTCCCTGTTAAATTTAATCTAATCATGTCCTGAAACACAGCTCCTCTCCTGCTTTCACTGCTCATACTGACGGAGGGAGCGATTCGTTTGTGAATGAATCTCCGTTATGAACGACTCCTTCGTTAGCCGACAATAATACAAGTTTCTGGCAGCGCAGCCTCTCATTGTCATATTTCTTTGCATTGTTTGCTGATTTTATTCAACAAAACTAGCATAAGCCGAGTGTTTAGTGCGAGTTGGGGCTGCTTTGCTATATGGTGGATGCAGTAAGTGACTGTTATCATCAATAACGTTACCTGATTAGCACAAAAGTTCAGAACATACAAAAACAGAAAAAAACTTAATATTACCTATGAAATGTTCTGCTTTTGTGCTTTGTTTTCTTTGTTTGCTCGTTACTACACCCGTAGACAGCGCTAAAGTCCCGCATCTTCACGTAATAACACTGTCTTGACTAGTGCGGTTGAATGACATTTGTCCTGGGAGCACTGTACTAATGTGGCGGCGCTATTGACGCATGCTCAGGGTCCCTATGCGATATCTAGTGTATATGGACAGAAATGATATCTTTTTTCAACTGTTTGCAAGCATGTTTT